GTGTGTGTGTGTGTGCGCGTGTGTGTGTGCGCGCACGCGCGCGCACACATGAAGACAGAGCCCTGGGCGTTTGAAGGAGTGAAGGGCCAGGGAGGGTTGGGAGAAGAAAGCAGGGCAAGGAGCCTCCTGGGGGTGGGGGGGTTGTTCCCTGGGATGACTCCCACATCCAGAGCTTGGTGTCCTTGAGGAAGCTCTCCTGTGGGGTTCCTTGGCATAGAAGGTTTCATCCGCTTCAGCGGCTGATTGTGTGAGTGACATCAACCCCGCAGCATTTGTTCTTACCCAGTTCAAGAGTTAAGAGTTTTATCATGTTCTGGGGGCACCTGCGTCCTCTGTTGGTTAAACATCTGCCATCGGCTCAGGTCATGATCTCAGGATCCTGGAATCGAACTCCAGGTTGGGCTCCCTGCTCAGTGGAGACTCTGCTTCTCTCTCTCCCCCGCGTGTGCTTTCTCTTTCTCAAATAAATAAATAAATAAATACCTTTAAGAAAAAGTTTTTTTTCATGCGCTGGACACCAGCCTGGACACCTTGCCTACTTGTTTGGGCTCTGGACCGAAATCACAGGGCATTGGCCTAGGGATGGGTTGGAAAGGCATAAGAACAGAAGAAGCAACGGACGGGGGTCAGAAGCTGGAGAGATAGAAGTTTGTTGGTTCTTGCATCTGATGCCTTCCCGACCATCATTGTGCAAATGCCAAAGGCAAGCACGCACACACACCCGCTCCTGCATTGGTCTGGTTCTTCCAGAATGGAGGGGAAACCGCCTCCCAGCAGAGAGGGAGCCCTGCTCACTGGCTCCTGGAGTCCGTGTCATGGGCTGAGCTCTGCTCTCTGGAAGGCCCTGTGCATGAGCAGTGAGGACACTTGGAGAAGCAGGACACGTCCCAGCCATAGGGGACTGAGTCTAACGGCCACACTCCTGGCAGGAAGGTGGGGAGGGGTGCCCTGAGACCTGCAGAAGAAGTGGAGGAAGGGTGAGGGGGTGCGGCTCCCGGGGCGAGCACTGCAGTGGAAATGCCCCCGGCCCGGCCCATGGGGGGTGTGTGGGGTGACCAGAGGGTCTCCGTGTTTGCTTCTGTGCAACTGGTCACCGGCAAGCTGGGTGGCGACACTGCCGGACTCCAGTCTCTGCCTCGGTGTCAGGGAAGGCGGGGCACAGGGTGCGAGCCTATGTGTGGGGTGCACAGGCACGGGCGCATCAGGGTGCCGGGGGTGGGGCCCCTACCCTCCCAGGCGGGGTCCAGGTGAGGAGCCCGGGGAGGACCGAGGGACCCCCGGCCTGCCCGGTCCCTGCTCCTGCCCCCACGTAGCCCAGCCCGGAACCCATCTCCACCCGACGTGCTGTCATCCCTAAGGGACCCCTTCCGATGGGGTCCGGATGTGACGAGCGCCGACTTCCGCCTCGGAGGCCTGAGAGACGCCAGGACCTCCGTGAGTGGGAGGACGGATCTCGGTCGGGAGAGACCAGGCGTGCAGGTAGACCCACCCGTGAGGGAGCACAGAGTGGGGGGTACTCCCAGGAACCAGGTCGCCCATGCCGGCAGTGCCGAGAGACCCCGGCAAGGGACAGCGTCGTCCCGCTGAGCCCCTCCCGCCGGGGCCCGGGGCACTGGACCCGGGGCCCCAGATGGACGGGCCCGGGCCCTCCCTGGGGCGGGTTCCGGGGCAGAGGGAGGACTCTGGGGGCCACTCTTCCCCGCTCAGGTCCGGCGCTCGGGCCCTTCCGCGGCCCGGCCCCGGGCACTCCCCCCCCCCCCCCCCCCGCCCCGGGGAGGGTGGCCACCGGTGGCGTCATCCGGTGAATGCGCCTCGGAGGTCTGAGGGAGCTTAGGACCTTGGTGTGAGAGGAAGGATGCCAGGTCGGGAAGGGGCAGGGGCACAGGCAGCCCCAGGGAGTCCGGGTGGGGATGGGGTGGGGATTGATCGGGGATCGATCGGGGGCAGGACCGAGGGACTCAGGAGCCCAGGACAGAGGGGACCTCACCGAGGTCGGGCCCCAGGATGAGTCCGGGAAGGCCGCTGGGCGGGAGGGGGCCACGCGGCCGGCGCGGCCGGACTGGTGCATCCGGGTCTCCCGAGAGACTAGGGGCCTTGGCAGAAGGAGCAGGGCCTCCCTCGGGTGGGCAGAGGGGCGGGCCTCGGTCCTGCTGGGCTTCAGGCTGAGGATGCAGAGGGAGGACTGAGGGACCCTGCACCCCAGCCCAGAGTCAGTCACAGAAGGTTTAAGGGAGGATGGGAGCAGGTGGTGAATCCGTGCTTCCGCATCCGGGTCTCAGAGACGCGGGGGGCCTTGGCAGAAGGAGCAGGGCCTCCGTCAGGTGGGCGGAGGAGAGGGCCCAGGCAGTACCCGGAGTCAAGGTATGAACTCGGAGGAAGGGCAGAGGAGGTCTCACAGAGGTTGGACCATAGTGTCTGTCTAGGAAGATCTCTGGGGGTATGGGGATACGTCGCGAGTCCGGACTTAGGTTCTGGGTCTCAGAGAGTAAGGAGGTCTGGTGTAAGGAGCAGGGCCTCTAGTTGGCAGGCGGGGGGGGCAGGAGGGCCCAGGTTCTGTCAGGAGTCAAGGTGAGAACCAGAGGGAAGAAGAGGGCCCTGGGACCCAGGAGGGAATCAGTCCTGGAGGCCCCTGGGTGAGACAACAATGACATGAGGCATGTCCTGACTTCTGCTCTGGGTCCCAGAGACACTGAGCGCTTGTTGTAAGGAGTGGTCCTCAGGAGCAAGGATGAGGGCACGGGCCATCCAGGGAGTCCAGATGGGGGACAGAGGATAGGGCTAAGGGACCCGAAGGACCCATCTCAGGGAATCCCTGGACTTTGTAGCCTGATGTGAGTCCACAGTCTTTACCCGTGGCTCTCAGGGCAGTGAGGGCTTTGGTCTGAGGGAACAGGCCTGGAGACAGCAGAGAGAGGATCCCCAGATGTGCTGCGGCTCATGTTGAGATCCCTGAGTGAGGACTCAGGGAGGGACCTGGACTCCAGAACAGGAACAACGCACTGAAGCCTGCCCCTGCTGTCAGCCCTGGGAGGCCTGTTTGTGCCAAGTCCACAGGCGATGTGTCAGGACGTCCGCATCCAGGTCTGACAGAGCCTGGGGGCCTGGTTTAAAAAACGGGGTTCATCACTGATATGAGGAATTCTTAATCTCAGGAAACAAACTGAGGGTTGCTGGAGTGGTGAGGGGTGGGGGGGATGGGGTGGCTGGGTGATAGACACTGGGGAGGGTATGTGCTATGGTGAGCACTGTGAATTGTGTAAGACTGTTGATTCACAGGTCTGTACTTCTGAAACAAATAATGCAATATATGTTAAGAAAAAAAAGAAGAAGATAGGAGGGGGAGACGAACCATGAGAGACGATGGACTCTGAAAAACAAACTGAGGGTTCTAGAGGGGAGGGGGGTGGGGGGATGGGTTAGCCTGGTGACGGGTATTAAAGAGGGCACGTTCTGTGTGGAGCACTCGGTGTTATGCACAAACAATGAATCATGGAACACTGCATCAAAAAAAAAAAAAAAAACCTGGGGTCAGGAGCTAATGGGACTGGATGTGAGGACCCGGCGGGAGGACATGAGTGACCCTGGACCCCAGAACAGAGTCAATCCTGGGAGGCCCCTGAGCGGGAGGAGGACGAGTGGCGTGTCCAGACTTCCACATCCGGGTCTCAGAGAGGCTGGGGGCTGGGGTAAGAGGCAGATCCTCAGGTCAGCAGCAGGAAGGACTCAGTTCCTGCTGGAATCCAGGTGAGAACACTCAGAACTGAGGGGACTCTGGACCCCAGAACAGAGTCATAGATGGGAGGCTCTTGAGCAGCTGTCCGCCTGAGTCGCACCCCCGAATTTGGCCTTGGATCTCAGGGATGTGCAGGGCGGTCAGAGGGGAAAGGACTCGGGACAGCAGAGGGCAGGACCCCAGGTCTTGTTGGATCCAGGAGGGATGCAGGCTGAGAGTTGAGGTCCTTAGAGCCTGAAACAGACAATGATTTGTTGCCCTTGGGCTCCTTCTTTGAAGTCCCCCAAGGTGGGGGGGAGCAGCTGAAGTGTTTCCTGACTTCTGCACCCAGGGTCTGAAGGAGGTGAGCCTTGGTCTGAGGAGTGTGGCCTCAGGTCAGCAGATGGTGGAGTCCCAAGACCCTGAGGGAGGACTGAGCGGACACCCACCCAGACATAGGGGTCCCAAATGAAGTCCTGCCCCAGTGGTCAGTCCTGTGAGGCCAGGCCAGGTGTCAAGAAAGTGCCCCACGTTCTCCTCTGGGTCTCAGTGGGATGGTGGCCTCGGCCTGCAGGATGCATCCCATGGTTAGGAGAAGGGATAGTTCCAGGTCCTGCCAAAAGTCAGCTTGAGCACCTTGACAACAAAGAGTGGACTCTCGCCCCAGGACAGAGGGGCCAACTCGGATCTCACTCTTTGTGAATTAGGTGGGATGCAGGGGGAGGGTTTGGATTGCTGCCTCCTCACGCTCCTCTCGGAGCTCTCAGGGAGGTGAGGGCCATGCTGGGAGAGGTCGGGGTCAGGTCATCTGAGGAAGCCCACCTGGGAGACACACAGGAGTCCCTGGTCCTGCCGAGAGTCAATGTGGGGACCCCCGAGGGAGGAGTGAGTGGCTCCCAACCCACCCCTCGGGACAAGGAAGGGATGGCCCAGAAATCTGTGCAGCCCCTACCAGGCAGCCCTGGGAACGCTGGGCGGAGCCTGTCAGGCTGAGCCCTCCTCCTTCCAGATCCCTGGTCTCAGGGAAGGGAGGGTCTGGGCCTGAGGGTCTGGACTCAGGTCAGCTGAGGAGGCAGGTGCCTTAGCTCTGGCTCTGGCTCTGGCCCTGGCAAGGGGGACGGTGAGAAATGAGGGGATGCCTCCCACAGCAGGATCCGTAGGGCCCAGGCCTACCCTGCCACTTCTGTCAGCCATGGGGAGATGGGGGATCGGTGGGCCGTCTGATTTCTCCTTCTGGTGTCTCCCAGAGATGAGGCCACCAGGAGTGTAGCCTCAGGTCAACACAGGGAGTTTTCCCAGGTCTTCCGTGGGGTCAAGGTATAGACGGAGAGGTGCGCCATCCCAGCCCAGACGGCACCTGAGCTTGGCCATCCCTCAGATTCTGTGACGAGCCCTTAGACCTTTGGCAGGCGTGGGCAGAGGTGGGCCCCCTCGCTTACCTTCTGTGGGGTCTCAGGGCTTTGTGGTCTTGCTGTGACCCCGTGGCCTCAGGCTGCGGGGGTGGGGCCCAGGCCCTGCCAGGGGAAATAGCAGTCCCCTGAGAGGCCAAGGAGGGGACCGCCCAGCTTGGACTGATGGGGACTTCACAGAGTCCGCCCCAGCCCTCCTGTGTGCACTGGGCTTCCGCGGCCATGCTCTGTGTCTGCCCTGAGGTGCCCCTTCCTTCCCTCCTCCAGGGGCTCCAAGAACTCAGAGTCCAGGCCTCTGTCTGAGGCAGGAGTCTCTAAGGTCAGAGACCAGGGGAGGTGCAGGTGAGTGCCAGTGGTCAAGGTGAGGTACATGCTCTGAGCATGGAGCCAGGGGCTCACCCATCCCAACCCAGAGGGGACCCCTCAGCACCCAAGTCCGATGCAGCGCACTGTCAGCTCCGGGACTTCAGGCCTCTGCTGCCTGGGCTGCACCCTGAGGACCCATCCCGAATCTTTCTTCAGGTTCAGCCCGACACAAACGCCATGCCCCTGGGTCAGAGGAGTGAGCTCTGGAAGTTGGAGGAAGACCCAGGCCCGGCCCAGGGCCTGGTGGAGGCACAACTGTCTGGGGCTGGGGAGGAGGAGGCCCCACACGCCCTCTCCTCCTCTTCCTCCTCCTCCTCCTCCCCTTCCTCCTCCTGCTCTGTCCTGTTCCTGATTCCCCTGGGGGAGGGGTCTGCTACTGGGTCCCTGAGTCCTCCCCAGAGCCCTCAGAGTGCCTGCCCCTCCCCCACTGCCCAGGCAGCCAGGGCCTGGAGCCAGCCTGACCAGGGCTCCAGCAGCCTAGATGAGGGTGTGTCGAGCACCTGGGAGGAGCCGGAAGTCACCCAACCCTCTCTCCAGGTCAAACTCCACGTGAAAGTGGCTGCCCTGGTGGGGTTCCTGCTCCTCAAATACCGCAACAAGCAGCCGACCTGCCAGGCAGAGATGCTGGAGATCGTCAGCAAAGATTACCAGGACGACTTCCCAGTGATCTTGGGCCAAGCCTCCGAGTGCATGCGGCTGGTCTTTGGCGTGGACGTAAAGGAAGTGGACCCCAGCGACCACTCCTACGTCCTGGTCAACGTCCTGGGTCTCACCTGTGATGGGATGCTGAGCGGTAAGCATGGCATGCCCAAGACCAGTCTCCTGGTGCTGCTACTGGGGGTGATCCTCGTGGAGGATGACTGTGCCCCTGAGGGGGAGGTGTGGGATGTGCTGGGGGTCATGGGGGTGTATGCTGGCAAAGAGCACATCATCTATGGGGAGCCCAGGGAGCTCCTCACCAAAGTCTGGGTGCAGGAAGGGTACCTGGAGTACCGGCAGGTGCCTGGCAGCGACCCTGCCCGCTACGAGTTCCTGTGGGGTCCCAGGGCCCACGCCGAAACCAGCAAGTCTCAAGTGCTGGAGTATTTGCTCCAGGTCAGGCGCGGGCAGCTGGCTTCCTCCCTGGCCCTGTCTGAAGGGGCTATGAGCGATGAGGAAGAGGGGGCCTGAGTCCCAGCGGCGGCCAGGCCCTTTGCAGGCCCTTTGCATCTTCTCCTGCAAGGTGCTGGGCATGAAGCGAGGCCACATTTTGGTTCTTCCCTGTGTGTGTGTGTGTGAAGAGAGAACCCCGGGAGTTCTAAGTAGGGCCAGGCCAGGGAGGATTGGGGGAAGAAAGCAGGATGAAGAGCCAGCCTCTCTGGGGGCCTGTTCTCTGCGATGACTCTGACATCCAGAGCTTGGTTTTCTTGAGGAAGCTCTCAAATGTTCCTTGGAGGAGAAGTTTTAACCAGCTTCGGCAGGTAAATGTGTGCATGACTCCATCCCGCAGCATTTGTATTTACCCAGTTCAAAAGTTTTAAGAGTTTTGTCATGTTCTGGAAATAAGGTGGGAGATCTTCCCTCCTTGTTTGGGTTCTGGAATGAAATCACAGGGCATTGGCATAGGAATTTGTTGGAAAGGTGGAAGAATGGAGCAGTCAAGTGACGGGGTCAGGAAATAGGGAAATAAAAGATTATTCATTTTTGCTTCTTACTCTTTCTCGTCTGTCATTCTGCAAAAGTAACATAGATGCGTGCGCCTTCATTCACTTAGTTCTTCAAGAAAGGAGGAGAAATGACATCTCAGCACAGAGGGAGCCCTGCTCATTGGCTCATTGGCTCCTTGATTCCCAGACATGGGCTGAGCTCTGCTCTCTGGAAGGCCCTGTGTGTGAACAGTGAGGACATTAGGAGAAGCAGGACACGTCCCACCCTTAGGGGACTGTCTAGCAGCTGCACTCATGGCAGGAAAGTGGGGAGAGGTGCCCTGA